CATGCCCTCACTAGGCCTTAATGGGCTCCGCTCCTGGGAGCAAAAGTTAAAAATTTCACAAGCTAAAAAAAATAAAAGAAAGATAGGAAGAAAACTGAAGGTCTTTATAATCCACAAAGTGCGGAAATGATTGTGACACAATATGATGATCAATCTCAAATTAGATATATAGGGGAAATCTCAATCAGTTGTGTCTCGAAAATAGTTTTTGAATCATAAATTGGAGATGATAATTTCACGATAAATTGGAAGGCGTTGTCAGCGACTTTCGTTCAATGGATTCAATTGGCAAACTTACTTCTGGAGGAATAGATATGCAAATAGCTGGCGTTAGACTTTATACTTTCACTGACAGCTGTAAATAGGTGATTGAAGGTTGATTTTTCTTCTTTAAATAGAAGCAATACAGATCTCAAACCACTGGTGAATATACTATGAATGCCACATAACTCAACCAATAAAGAGCATTTCTTTCTCCTGCTATGTGAATAAGGAGCAAAGCGAAGTAACTGCTAGAGGACGAGCTACCTTGGAGAACATAGTGAATGAAGGTAAGAGCATTGAAGTTAGACCAGGAAACATGAGCATCTTAATTATCATCACTACTTAGTTATGAGGCTTCCTTAGAATTTCTTATAAAGGGAGTCAATGGGTTATGGATGACAGAGATGCAATTTGACCGAAAGGTTTGGACATGCAAATTCTCATAGGTCCTAAATTGTTGTGTCAAGATGAAGAACAAAAACCTTAATAAATTGTAGATGGTTTTGCTAGTTACCGATTTCTTTAGAATAGTTTCATCATCCTTATTAGCCATCTGCATAGCTTGTTCTAACATCGAAGAATACGCCGATTTAGATTTCTTTTCAGTTTGGCGGCTAGTGGTACCAGACCCTGCATCAAAATGGAAGCCCTTTTATCAAACATTCACAGTTTATAAGGGAAAAAAATCCAGTTTAAAGGGAAGTGCACAAATGTATGCACCTTTTTTTGCACCAATAAGTAGATTTTCCGAAGCAGGGACCACATTTTCATCTTGATCCTGTTGCTCGGCATGAATTACATGAGACATGCCTGGCTTATTTTTTCCTTCACGATGACAAGAATTCTCCGGACTCTGTCGACAATCATTTTCTAACAAAGAGTTTTCTGATGCTAACATTGATTCCACAGGAGGCATAACTTCTTGTTCACTTGCACTCATTGTATTTGGACGAGGTTCAGTGATTTTAAGGCGCTTCTTCTCAGGTTCTTTTGTTTCAGCTGGAGTTGTTTGCTTACCCATGTCATTCCTGAAGTTCATAGTATCACAGGTCCCATGTGAACCCAAACCTGAGGATTTATCTTTCCCAGATGACTTAAGCTTTAATTCTTTTTCTCGAATGGCAATCATCTGACGTAAGTCTTGCAGTTTAGTGGTGTTCAAATGGACATTTGGTTTTGGTAAATGACCCAAGCCAGAAGAGGATCTATTCCCAGAAGCAGCTCCATGAATTTTGTTTCTTGAGGAAACAAATGTGCGACTGAGAGACGCTCTCCTAGGCATAACTTTGGACATGGCTCTAGTAGTTTGTTTTGATGATTGCGATTGTGATTTTGATAGAGAAGATACAGGTGGTCTTCTACTTCTCTCTAATAGAAGAGATTTACCTTTAGCTAGTAAAGCATCTGGCTGTTTACTCTCTTCGCGGTCACTACCACTGTCCTCATCTGAAAAACTTATCACAAATGGCACGAACGGCCCTCGGTTTTTTTCAAAACTCTTGTGATGGTTAGAACGAAGAGTCGCTCTTGTAGGTAAATCAACTAAATCTCCAGATTTGGTTGAAGGAACCAATGTTCCTGGGAAGTACATAAAAAGCATAAAAGAGGGAACTCGGTAACATATGTTGTTTCAAACAAGGGG